ATAATTATTTGACCGTCACCCTGGAAAAAACTACATAATTTAATAGTAACGGTCAGGAATCTAATTTAAGGCAAGGTTTACTATATTGTAGAATGANATTTCATATTAAACTAACTCACTTCTAAAAGTTGTCTAAATTGTATGTATGTTTAAAAATAGTTTTACAAAACCATGTCACATCAAACGTAAATATACAAAACTAATTATAGTTATTATAATAATTATTTGACCGCCACCCTGGAAAAAATTACATAATTGGTTACAGACTTCTAGTGAACAATTTCGTCAAAAATTTTGATGCTTCATTCCGTCAAATTTTGTTTATGTATACGTGCGAGCTTTAGGCATACCTTTTAATACTGCAGAATATATATTTGTGTGTTTCTTACCCCAACCAGCACTCTCATCAGTGCAAATTTTCGTGCAATTTTCACTAGCTGCAATCTAAGTCTACCTTTACCCCTTTTAACTCCTGTACCTGCTTCTAATATGTCTATAATTAACCTTTTCCTACTAGCCTCCCCTATACCTTCTTGATATCCAAAGCGCTCTCCTTATTCTACTCTTTTTAATATATCCTCATTTCTAACCTTTTCTACCCCTCCTGTTTTAAATATGCATGCAATAATCTCTTTTGAAGTTCAAAATCCAAAAGCGACCCGATCCTGTACTATTCTTTGTTTTATTGTTATTTTTAGCGCTTTTTCTAACCTGTGTTTTCTGACTTCTGCGACTTCTTCGTTTTTCGTCTCTTCTAAATCCTTTGTATACCAATATTTTTGTTTTATTATGTACAGGAAACTTTTTTCTTTCAAATCAAGTTGTTCTCAAATTATAGTGTTTCACAATTTATGTATGGCATATGATGCTATTATTGAACCCGTTATGTTATAAGGGAACAGGCGTAATTACTTCACGCTCGGGTGGAAAACAATATGATATGCGTTTGAATGCCATGGTCAGTCATATTGCAGTCAAAGTATAGTCAGAAAACTAGTCTCAAAGATATAGACCAGTTGATTGCTTTAGATTATAGTGCTTCTAAATCAATCAATCCATCCAAACTTATAAACCATTTTAGGTATTTAAACTTTTTATGTGAAATTTTGGGCTTTTGTGTCTTATTTATATATTTTCTGGATTTTTTCTTAATTTTTTTTTTGTGTTTTATTATATGGTATTTACCTTTTGCCAGTTCCATTGTACTTTATTGTGTCCAAAAGCAAGTAACTATTACGTTTTATTAAATATCATTAAGTTAATAAGATGTCATTTGAAGCATGATTCTCTATTGTTAGAGCACGTCCTGGGTAAGTCCGTGTAATATAAAAGTAGGCATAACAAAAGGTACAATAAAATTTTACCCTGTATGGGTCAACAGCTTTGCACGGATTACTAACATCGAAATTCACAGAAGTAAGGGTTGTTTCTTCACCCCTGTATTTTCCCAAACAGACCAATAGTCGGTATAGCTTAATACTGATCTTCAGTAGATCAATAAGTGATACTTTGGTAAGAAAAAAGTAGATGTGAAGGAGTTTAATCATAATCAAAACATTGTCTCACTTATATTATTAATTTAGCAGTATTATTATTATTCTTATTGTATCATTACAGGATTAAATTAAAAAACAAGCAGTACGACTTAGACCAAATTTGAACTATTGTATCTAGTTTTGCACAATTCTATACACTTCTTTATCCCTTTTATTATTTTGCTATTCTACTATTCATTCTTTCTTGCTTAATTATTATCATTTATCTCCTAATACACCACTGCATTTTCTTTCATTTTGAACCTTGCCATTAATTGTAATTTTCTTTTCTTGTGTTGTTCATAAGAGAATACATCCTTTAAACGGAGATTTTTAATTTTATACTCGATTTGAATGAAAAAATAGATATGTAGATACCTACTTTATTTTGGACTTTAAAAAAATTCTAAATATTAGACCTCTTTTGCCAGTAGGTTCAGATAAAGTGCTAGGTATTTTGTATATAATACGTTAAGTTACACGCATATCCTGTGAAAGCGTTACAGAAAGGGGTTCACACGGCATCCAAATCGGTCTAAGAGATGCTAATGTTAATGACCTTTAAATCGCCTATTTAGATAACAAACCATTTTCAAAAGATAATCAACCGAGCACCTCACTCGAGAGTCATTTTACTAGTTATGTTGGCACTGCTCATAAATAATTAAATAGTTCTTTACCAATGTTGTGCGTGTGAAAATAAAAACAAAACATTTACATCATCTCTTTGGGTCACTGTTTTATCTGTAGTTCACTTTTTGCATAATAAGTGGGTTACTCCTACACGTGTATGTGTAAAATGAATGGTTACACTTTATTTACCAATTTCATTTGTGTAGATGGAACTGAGTATGGTACTGCCAAATTTCCCTAAGTCGGACCTCCTAAATGCAACCATGTTGAAACAAAATCACGAGGTGGTGTTTACACATGGATTATAAGGATTTTTTCTTAATAAACAATTTCATTATATAGAGTTGCCGGTATTTTTTGTATATACAACACAATATAGCATAATATTCACTTGATACTTCTTCTACCTGCTGTGACCACTTAATAAGGTCCTTCACATTTTAAATTATTATAGAGAACTGTTCCTATTGTTAATTTCGACCGAATTTTATTATTATCAAATGGAATGTACCCATAAACTGGGTCGATTCTTTATTGAACCTTGAATAGAGAGACTGAGAACATTCTACTTCGGATTTAAGGTTTCGTGCAGGAATAGCAGGTTACCTACGAGCTGGAGTACCACGCTACCTGGCTCCGTGTAAGTTGTAAGTGGTCTACTACGATAAACGCTATTATTCTTTTCCCATTGTACAGTTATAAAAGGCCACCTAACTAACCTACGAAATGTTTCGGTATTTTAAAGATTAAGGAGATTGAGTGATCTAGATGCGTATTTGAAAAAATGCTATTTACAATTTTACCGTTTATTAATTGTTTATTACTGTTGATAATATGGCACGATTTTCAGAATCATTTACATAAAATTATTATTTTACCAAAGTTGCCAACTGGTAAATATTGGTTGTAAAAATATAGCGATCCGTCCTATTGTTTGTGTCAAGGCATAATAGATAACCGAAGACTTTATTACTTGTTTGAATACGAATTATTAACACCTAAACCTGAGTATCTAACAACTTTGTATCTTTCTTTCCAGATGATTAATTATCAACGATTCGAGGAGATGAGATAGAACTTAAAATGGAACCTTCAACAGAATATGGTAAGTTTTCCCTTATATTTTCAGAATGAACCTACTTACTAAAACAGTAATACAGAGTGGAACGTTCAAGAAAAACGCTAAAAAGAGCTACCACAACCACACATTAAGTGTTCGGCACGCATGTTTTCGTATGTTTACCATTTCGCGGTCGAAACCGCCTCTTTTCAGACGTTTCGGATGTTACGCTCATAAATTTCCGCTAGCTTATTATTTTCACATTACTATTGAACTCTTTAACAGAGTTTGTTCCTATGCGGCATACGGCACTTACCGAGTTATTTATAGGTCCGCGGCATTAGTTCTTGTTGCTCCTGCTGTAATTGGTATTACCTACAAAGTTCCCTGACGCTTCCTTCTTAAACCATGAACCTTTGTATATAAATATAAATAATGTCAAATTAAGTTGTGACATTTTATAAGGATAATAAAACAAATCCCTAATGTTTTCTTCGACAAGATTCCGAATTATTAATTTGCTTAAATTCCTTGTGTTCGAATAATCGCCTTAATATTACCTTCGTTTTTCTATAAGGACTAATATTCCCTTCGCATGGATGGTATAAGTAATATAGAGGTGTTAACGCTTTTGTACAGAGTATCCTAAAAATTGCATTAGTAAAGGGGAAATTTCTTAATAATAAAAGATTCTCTGTGTACAGGAAGCTTTTAATATTTCATATTGCGCTTGAACATGACTTCNTATTTTATATTATTTTCAAAAATATATTTCAGGAAATTTTAATTGTTAACATTTTTGGCAGCATGACGCCATTGTGTTTATTTTCGTTGAATGTTTATTTAACGGGGGCAATAAATTACATTAAAAAATGTAATTAACATATAAATGTGTTTTGAGGCTAATGATTATTCAGTGCTTAAAGATCAAGGGTTATTACAACAGTTTATACTGGCACCTCAGCTTTTTGGCGTATACACAAATTTGGGCTGTTTTATCTGTTCTGAGCGACAAACATTAACTTTTACGATTAGAATTATTAAAGCCACATAGAATTACAAATTTATTACCTTCTAGGTACTTGCTTGCTTTTATGTTCACATTATCAAGGAAAAGTCCTAATTACAATTGAAAAAGTCCTGCTTGAATAAATTATGACGAAGAAGAAAAATTTCTTATTGTGTTTTTGTAGCGGAAATTTTCTTGATTGTATATTTCTTTTGCTGCAAGAAAGGGATTAATCTTGAGTAGTTGAGAAACTATTAACTCTTCAATAATACATGAGTTTCAGTTGTACATGTACAATACCTAAATTCATTGTTTAATTCTAATTTTATATTATTGTTTCTGGTTGTTGGCAAATAATAATAAAATTGCGCAACAAAAAATATTTAATTGGTATTTCTTCCTGCTTTGTTTGGTTACACATGTTAACAAAATATGCACAATAAGATAATGGTAGCTAACAAAAATATTGATAGATATATTTCTTTTCCTATTGTAGTAAAAATAGTTAAGGATGTGGGATGTTCTAGTTTTAGTTTTAGGGAAATGCGAAGAATAGCTCACTACAGTCCAACCAGTAGACTAATGACCATATGATTTTGATGATGTAGTATATTCGGAATTAGTTATTTAAATCACGATTCAAATATTTTCTGCTGATGTAAAAGATCAGAGCAAGGACGTGAATAAGTTTACAAATCTGCGTATTTATACCAGATATGTACATACATATGTGTTTTACATGCAGACAGAAATTGCAACTTACCATGTTTTTGAAATTCCTCTCGAACTACATACAATTCCAATTTATATCGGATTCCACAGCGATTCTAAAAACAAGCCGGCACAATGACACGGTGGTATGAATGACAAAATTGCAGTGACTTGTTTCGGATTTCAATTGTCAGTAGGACCACGTACCCTCTTATCGCGCAGAGCTTTTTAAAAATCCGCAGGAGACTCTTTGATGCACATCAAGAACACGTACAGATATCACGTTTGAATTTACCAAAACGCGAAGTAATTCGAGCACATACAGAAGATGTTGTTGGTCACTATATTGTTGGAAACCGAGAAGTTTTGCGGTCGGTTTTGATGGTTGGTGTCGCCCAAAAATTTCGCGCAAAAATTCACGGATTGTTGTTTCAACTGCTGCGGGTGTTTGGTTGGTTCACTTGTCACCTGGATCGGTTAAATGCACCTCACAAATCATCCAAGCATGAGCAGGTAGTAGGAATAAGAAAGCAACAAAAGCACACTTCTTAGTTCATTCACTGCGTCGTGAATTTCACGTTATTCTGTTTCTCTTTTTCGAAAAAGTTAGCGCACCCTTTATCACAGTGGAGTTTCGAAATGAGAAAAGTTCAATTTATCGTTTTTCTCTTTTTGTCCCGGTTAATTTTTTAAATCGTTTCGATGTGCTGCCGTTTCTGCTGCGCGTGTGTTAGCGACTTAAGTCAATCGGTTCGTACGATCACTCGTCCGGGTATAGCGAACATAATAAAGCTTCGAGCGCCTATGGCATTCGGCATGGCATGGATTTTCCTCCCACCATTGCTGCTGCTGTTGCTGTTCTTGCAACAAGCATCTGGTTCTTTGTGTTTTCTACAGGGTACGAGATGGATGTATTATGTATGTATGTTTGCGTTTGTGTGTATGTGTGTGTCTTTATGTACATGAATATTTCTATGTACGTATGTGTGTGTGTATGTATTAGTATAGTTTGTACCTCTCTTTTACCTTTACCTACGACGATGGTGATGTTGGTTGAACCAGCTGAGTCGTAGAGAATATTCTTCGTTGCCGCATTTACAACCATCAGGCCTTGAACTTGCCGTGGCATTTTGCAGATTTGCTCTCCAATTGGGGCGAAGGTAGATTGCTCGGCGAAAGGTTTTTGCCAGTTTATCAGTATATCTTTAAATCTATTGTTTTAGCTATTCTTTCAAACAGAAATACCACTGTAGGTACTGGTCGTCCAGGTATCCGCTTTGGATTCAATACCCGGCTTTTTTTTTGAGTTTTGGAACAAATGTAATCAAGATGACAATGAAAATTTGACGTTTGATCGTGAAAAATTCCAAGGTCTTTTATTGAAGGGACCGCTAGTTTAGGGTGTAATCAAAAGATAAGAACGTTGATGTTCTTTTGAAAGATATTAAGAAGGAGATCATTATCAGGTCGTCAGTCTTAAGACTGGTTGGACACGCACTTCCAATCTTATCCTGAACTAATCCTCGCATTTCCCCAAAACTAAAACAACCCACATCCTTAACAATTTGCGAACAGTAACCTACTCTAAGTCTACCTCTACTCCTTGCAACTATTGTTTCTGGCTTTAATATGTCTCTGACTAGACCTTCATGATTGAGAAGGTGTCCTACCAACCTAACTTGCCTATTTCTTATTAACTTCCATAGAGTCCTCTGTTGTCCTATTCTTTCTAATATTTCTTAATTTCAAATCTTCTCCATTCACGGTATCCTTATCATTCGCCTGTAACACCACATTTCGAAGGCTTCTAACCTTTTCCTTTCCGCCGCGCCCACCATCCATTTCGCATCGGTACAGCGCCGCGTTCCAAATATACACCTTTAACAATCTTTTGCAAATCTAAGCATACTATTTTCTTGTCCCTGTCTCTATATCCCTACAGTAGTCCTACCTTTAATAATGTTAATCGCGTCTTCGATATACAAATTAAAAAGTAGCAGTGACATTTATACAAACTAAGTAACACACTTCTGTCTCTGTAACTCACTCCTACATGTTTAAGTATATTTAATATTTGTTTTCATTTAACATTGTCTAAAGGTTTTTCTAAATCTACAAATCCTATGTACGCACCCTTTCCTTTTTCTATCGTTTTCTCTAATGTTACCCGTAAAATTAGAATGACCTTGCGCGTTCCTTTATTTATATTTTACATATTGACTTCCATAGAGTCCTCTGTTGTCCTATTCTCTCTAATATTTGTTCATTTCTAACCTTCTCTATTCACGGTATCCTCATCATTCGCCTGTAACACCACATTTCGAAGGCTTCTAACCTTTTCCTTTCCGCTGCGTCCACCATCCATGTTTCGCACCGGTACAGCGCCGCGCTCCAAATATACACCTTTAACAATCTTTTGCAAATCTAAGCATACTATTTTCTTGCTCCTGTCTCTATATCCCTACAGTAGTCCTATCTTTAATAATGTTAATCGCGTCTTCGATATACAAATTAATAAGTAGCAGTGACATTTATACAAACTAAGTATCACACTTCTATCTCTGTAACTCATCCCTACATGTTTATGTATATCTAATATTTGATTCCATTTAACATTGCCTAAACCTTTTTCTAAATCTACAAATCCTATGTACGCACCCTTTCCTTTTTCTATCGTTTTCTCTAATGTTAGCCGTAAAATTAGATTGACCTCGCGCGTTCCTTTATTTATATTTTACATATTGATCTTCCCCTAATAGTTCTTCCGCTCTTTTTTCCATCCTCCTCTGTACAATTTTAGTTAGTACATCAATCAATTCTGTTGGCTTATCAGAGTTTAATTAATGATAAGTTATTAGTATGATTTTGTCACCTTTTGCAGACTTTTAGTGTTAATAAACATAAAAGGCTCGTTTCAATGGTTTCAACTCTACCCTCTCGCTGAAAATCCGCCAACCAACAATTAAAATTTTATTGGCTTAGTGTTTAAACGACTTTTAGAACGAGAGTTAATGTGGACGTTGGTGAGGGTAGTATTTAATGGAAAGCCTGTCAGAACGAAGAAATGAACCGTTGTCCGTAGTGGGTTTGCGACGTACCCGGCAGAGCTAATGCAGGTACCCGGCAAAATCATTATCCGATGAATCTCTAGTAAATAATAATAAAGAAATTTAATACTGTTACTAAAGCAATTTAGAACGACCCTGATTTCGGTTGGTTTAAGTGTAGTTATTGTACCTAAACATTTTAACAACAAATGAGACACTCATCCATGAAACTTCCTACAAATCTTATGTGGATTTCGGATTTTGTTCGTACAAGAAGGTTTAACAATTAACACTAATTATATGTAACACTTTGTGTTAGTAAATAAAAAGTTATTACTCTTTCGATGTGCTCATTTTTATGTTATATCTAATATGAAAAAATTTGCGAAATATGTGTGGAAAAATTTGGCTTTCAGTCTGCTCTGAGCTTTTCGAGCTTTATACAGTCTGATTATACTCCTATCGTGCCCAATTATTCTTACTATGATGATGATGTAATATTTTATACTTTGTCATGATAATATTGAGTTACGTTAAAGTTATTTTCTTAAGAAAAAACGGTTTCTAACTTTTTTTGTAGTTACATTACTAGTGTATAATTCGCTGTATGTTGGGTTGTCTAGTTATAATATTGCAAATTGTAGTTTATTAAAAAAAAATTAATTATTATCCCTAACTGCGTCTACATGAAAAAAACATACTTTAAAGATGAGAGTCTATCAATCTACTTCAATTAAATTGGAATTATAACTCAATAGTAGCGTTTGCTTTAAATTGTCCCGGCACCTCCACCAAAAATTTTAATAAATTTTTTTAATAATTATTAATAATATGTGTATATTTTCATGAATGTCTAATTTAGACATTTGAGAGAAATATTCAAGATTAATCCATCACAAAGACCATCAAAGAATATAAAATTTGACTCTTTATTTATATGCGAAATAAATCGTACAAAAGCTCAACACATTGAGTTATACTTTTCATCATCACAATAAGTTCGTCAGTCCTAAGACTGGTTAGACACGCATCTCCACTCCTTCCTATTCTGAGCTAATCTTCGCATTTCCCTAAAACTAGAGCATCCCACATCGTTAACTATTTGTTAACAGTAATCTCATCGAGGTCTACCTCTACTCCTCTTAACTCTTATTTCTGCCTCTAATATGTCTCAGTTATACTGTTATACTATTTAATCAGTGGAAGAATCGACGATTACAAATGCATGTACAATTAAACACTACATTAATAAATTAACTTGATAATGTCATTATTTTAAAATTGGATGATTTGTAATTTAAATGATAAAATCAGTAATTTAATTTTATATGAATATGTAAACGTTTTCTACCAGATTTTACAAAATGTATTTAAAAATATTACTGATTAATTCATTCAAATTTATTCAAAGATAGTATTGAGTTTCACGTAAAAAAGTTATTTTCATAAGAAAAAACGTTATTAGTTTTCTTTGTAGTTACATAATTGGATTTGAAATATTTTTTGTATGTTGGGCTGTCTATATGTTATGCTACAAAAAGTTTAATTTATTGTAAAATGAAAGATATAAATTAGCATCTCTAAGTGCGTGTACATACAATAAGTGTAATTCAAAGATAAAATTCCATCAATCTACACTAATAAAACCGAAATTATAAATAAACTAGCTTTTGTTTTAAATTGTCCTGGCTCCTTCACAATCACCACAATTTTAATGAAAATTTTTTGATACTTGTTAATATCTTTAAGAATGTCTCTATTTTTGCCATATTTGGAAAGAATGAGTGCTGGTGAACTCATTTTAGTACTTTCGTACATAATGCATTTTGTATTCCATCCACTTAGTAGATTTTAATGAGGATATAATTAGGATTAACATTCGGTTATCATTGACCTAAAAGCCGCTATTACTTACATCAAAGAAAAGTTAAAAAGTTTATACATATGTAGGTATCGAAAGTTAATATTAATGTTAATTTTTTTTGCAGTTTTCTTTCGATCACCTTCCTGGAGTCGTGTTGCAGTCGTGCTTGGGGAGAAAGATGAATTGATTCAACTGCAGCCTCAAGGGTGAGCTTTTTCGTTTACTAACACTGCATTTTTCATTTTATAACTAGAGTTTTACTTGTTTTTATTGTTTGGAGAATAGTATTGACTTTCATGTAAAAAGTTATTTTCATAAGAAAAAACATTAATAATTTTCTTTGTAGTTATTTTATTGGACTTGAAATACGAGNCTTCCTTTTTTTAACTTTTATAAATAAACCTTCAAAAGTAGTTAAGTATATATGACATCGGATGTCATTAAGTTAACTAACTTTGAAAACTGCCTTATATAAAAAATACAATTCGAAAAATAACAAAAAAGTAACTAAATTCTACTTTTCTGCTTGACAATATTTCTTGGAATATTCGATGTAGTAAATACATCTATGTGAAGAATTTTACATTCTTGTAAAGAAAAGAAAGGACATAGGCACTCATGACAACGGCAGAGGAATTTCCAAATGTTAGTTAATTTCGTTGAAAAAAAGTAATATAAATCTTTATAAAATCTTTTATAATTCTTTCTTCTCCACATTTAATTTTTTTTTTACTACATTTAAAGATGACTTTTGTAATATTTACTCAGATAACATTAATAAGTAATACATTGAAATAGCATCAAGCCTTGTAAAAATTTCATTTCATACAGTACCTTTGTAGGTGTACAGACTAAATCAACAGATAAGTGTTATTGCAA